ACGGGCTATCTACTAGTATTTTATATAAAGGTTAATGTATAAATCGCGATATATTTTATAAAAGATCACAAGTAGAACTCGCAATATATTTTATATAATTATACAAATATTATAAATATTATAAATTATTTTTTAATTTTAAAATATATTTCTATAATTATTTAAAAAATTTTTTTTAATTTATACTTTATTTTATTTTATTTTAATTTGCTATATTACTTTATTTTAAAGTATTTCCATTATTTTAACATCCATAACACCTCTTAAACACGATACAAAATATAAATAAATTTTATTAAATCACCACACTCTATATATATGATCATTTTTTGATGTTCTATTTAATTTTATCAAACTCTCCCATTTCTATCTTAAAATAAACTATTTTTATATAAAATGATCCTTTAAAAAAAATAATTATATTAGATAATAATATCAGAATTAATTTTAATTTACACGTTTCTTTTATTTTATTGCTTTTTTAATAATATATTTTATTTTCCCAAGCTAACTTATCATATACTTGTGTTTGTTTATCTATTCGTATTACCTTAGCTAAAAAAAAATTTTCCCTTCCTAAAATTTTGTTTTTCCCCCCTTTATTCCTTTACATTTGTTAGTATCTTTTGGTATTATTCAAAAGTTATATCATGGTAAACACTTGTTGCCATGTGTGTTGACAAATAATTTTACTTAATTTAAATGGCACATTTAGGAAACATAGTTCATCCGCTTGCCTTAATTCTGGAAAATTTTTTCTCCCTTCTCTCCCAGATCCTTTTATTAAATCCCTCACTCTCGTGTTCCCAGTTCTGATTGTTTTACTCAAGCTCTGTTGACTTATTTCTTATTTCACATAAGCTCCCAATTTTTATCTAGGATCCTATAGCAGCCCGAGAATCGTCCAAATTATATTTTTCTGTCTAAAATATTGAGTTAGCCCTTTAAAACTATCGCATCAAAATGAGCCGTTTAACAACACTACTAAAATTATTTTATTCCATCAAAACGTAATCATAATCATAATTTGTTTCCAAGCAAATTTTTTTAGATAATAAATGGAATTTCACTTTTCAGGCAGTAATGCAATATGATTTAAAAATATAATAAAGAAGAAAAATTTTTTTTTAAATTTTTAATAATGAGCCATCTTGCGGATCGAATTTTATATGTAATATTTTTATATAAAATTTATACTAAAGGATTTTATATTTAAATAGATTTTAGAAAAAAATATACAATTATTAATGTAATTAATTTATATTTATATTGAATAATTTAATTATTTATAACTTGTTTATATTATAAGAAATATTCTTAAGAAAATGAAACTAGATTCATTTAATATAATATATTATATAATTAGTGTTTTTGATTATAAATTAGGAGTAATTAAATTGCTTACCTAGTAGATTATAGCCAGCTTATATAAAATAAAAATATTAATTTTTATTGTTATTAAAGAAAATTTAGCATATTAATAAAAGGTAAGATTTTTTCAATTCTGCGGCCCAAGTTATTTCAAAAGATTTTATTGAAAAATAATTTTATTTCATCAATATTTACTTTCTAAGCCTCTTCATTGGATGTATTATTAAAAAAAAATAAAATAAACTTTTGGGACAAATATTATTTTAACATATCAAAATGAATAATTATCTAAACTATTTAATAACTAAATGATATAAACCAAAGTTGTCATGATATTGTTATCAAGATATGTATTTTGGTGAATACAATAACAAATTTTTATTCAAATATCATAAATTAGCCATTAAAAAAGTGATATATTATATCCTCAATTAACCTCTCCCAAATGCAAGATATAAACATAGCACAAATAGAGATTGATTTTTGTGATCAAATTCAACATGGGATTGGATAAAACCATTTTTAAATTATTGTAAAACTTAATGTCCCACCAAATAATGCTGCTTATATATATAAAAATGCCAAAGAAACTTACCAACCAGATTCCCTTACTCAATCAGAAAATAATGATGAAAATACTTCTTTTAATTATACATAGTTTCTACTTGATTATTTAATATTTTTAATAAATTTATTTTTTAAATCTTCCTCAACCATCTAACCTCCACTTTTAATACACTTTTTCAATCATACAGATTTTAAGTAACTTTGTATTATATTTTTAAAAGATAAATTTTATTTTAAAAAAAACACAATCTTTTAAACTCTAATATTCATGTAGCATGATACAACAATATCTTTTCTTTTTTTCAATTTAATTTTATAACTTTTTGTAAAATAACATTTTTGGAAATTTAGAAATAGGTCATTCATACATATATTCCCCCTCCCTCTTTTTTAAAAAAAACCAGCGTTATGGTTAATGTTATCATGTAGCTTTGAACGGAGTCTTTACAATAGAAAAAGATAGTGTCAATCAAAGTTTTGTAACTCCGAGACTATTCTGCTCAAAATCATTTCCGGTTCCTCCATGGCTACCTAAATCTCCGCACATAAAAACTTTATCTATGGGCTGTATCTGTTTGAATCCAAATTCTTAAGCCAACACGCGAATATGTTTGACCGTGATAGGATGCGTCCACATTTTTGTGTTCATAGCCAAGGCGAACAGAAATGTTTTCTAGGAGAGTGCAGGAATATTAATTTCATTTAATAACAAAAAAAAATGGTGAAATACAGCTGATTTCGTATCATCATTTATATTATAAAATCGATATATTTAAAATAAGTATTCATGAATATAGCCTTAAAGGTTTGTGTATAGAAAATAATTTTGGAATAGTAAAGAAGAACTTAATTATATATCTATATTTTTTAATAAATAGTTAGTAATTCGTTTTAGTTTAAACCTGCATTTGAAATGTGGCGCTTATGTCCCATTCTCGTATTATGCAGGTTATTAAATTGTCGGATAACCCATTAGCAACCTTAACTAAGGTATTAGAGTCTAGAAAGCCATCAGAAATATGTCAGCCCAATCCCTCAGCTCTATATGCATGATTGGATTATCTGGCCTTCCAGTGGTCCCATTCGTCACAATCCTTGTAGGCTTTATAAGGTTGGTTTGAGAGGGTGTGAGGGGAAAAAAACTGGAGCTCTTTATCAATCGCTACTATTTTGATAAAATTTTTATTGATAGCATTCAACCTAGTTTCGAGAAATTTTAACAATTCCGGAACTTTGATTGCGGCTACGCTTCCTGTCACACCAAACAATATATTGAAGGATGCTTCCGCCGGAGAATTATCCATCATCTATAGATAGAAATGGTCTTATTGCATCCAGATGAGATTGAATCTTTACTAAGCTAAGGGGGGGGGGCTATGATTCGTTTGGATTCGCATACTTAGAATTATAAGGATATAAATTTTGTTTTCGCCAATAACGAAACGTTTGCAAAGGTCCACAAATATCTGAAGAAAAAAAATATATAATTAAAAAATTTATTTTGATAAACATTTTAAGGGGGAGAAACAAAGGATGGAAAAAAAAAATTCTTCTAAAAATAAAGATGTATCCCTGGAATATTTAACTATGGAGGAAGTTATGTTAATATTCATCTTGGTAAAATTTACGATCAAACAAGTTAAATGGCCATTATTAATTTCTCCATTTCTTCTCTTCCGGTATTAGTTATGGGCGGCATCGTTCCATTATCCCTTCATATTTACTCTGTCACTCTCATCTCTCCTTCCTTCCCGACAATTAAACAGCTCGTTAATACCTGCAGCTTAATCTCCCTTGATGATAGCCTAACTGGATCAGGTCTACGCAATGTGGCATGTTTTAACACATACAGTTCTTCCCGATGTCTTTATTAATTCTGTATTTTATATCGTGTTTTTAATTTAAAAAAATTTTATGTTATAATCCCTTTTTATATTTTGCCATATTATACTTTTTTTATAGAAAATTGACCTTTTAAATGAAATAATAATTTCGAGGGTATAAAGTCATAACATAGCTTGTGTTCAAAATTTTAATATATAGGTTCAGTGTTATTGTTTGTATTTGTTGAAATATTATATTCGTATTATTTTGTTTTAGATGTGGCGGAAAAATTATAAAAATCACATGAAAAATAATGATAAACATTTTTAAAAAAAATATTGGTTTAAATTTGATTTTGTAAATGGGAACAAATAGTTATAAAATTTGATTTGTAAAATATGACATTTAGAAATATACAGTTTGATAATGAATTCGGATTTCGTTAAATTAATTTTTTTACTAAAGAAAATATTCGAATATTGACACAAAAAAATTAGGCCTTGAAATATTAACGATTGTAAAAAGGTGTAAATTAGAGTTTTGCAGGGTTCGGCTGGTCCGATTAATAAAATGTAGGCCCCGCCCGTGTATACAATTTCTTCTTTTTTTTTTTGCCCGATTGAATTTCAACAATTTAAAATATGAATTTTTTAAAAAATAATAAGAATTATTTTAAAAATAAAGCAGGAAGTGGCAAATGTATATATTTTCTTAATAAATGGAATATATAGTCAATCATTAGATACAAGATAAAATTTATGACACAGCGGGCTAAGATTGATTTCGGAGAAATCTTAATATATATGTAATAAATAGAGTTTTAATATTAAAAAAAAATTTTTTTTTTCTCTAGGAGGTAATTTCCTGGCACATTTTTTTTATTTTTTTATTAAGTAAATATATTATTGTTTTTTATTAAAAAAAAATTTTAAATATAATATGTATAAAATGCAAAGTAAATAGTATATAAATTTTAACTTTAAATAATATTTTGATAATGCTGATTATACATGACGTGCGTTTTTTTTTCTTCTTCAAAATTTAAGGAACGTAAATAATTTTCATTTAAATATTTTGAAATTATATTACTTCCCAGAAAATTTTAAATTTCTTTTTCTGGAATAAAATTTGGAAAATTAATAGAATACATTTTATCATAATATTAAAAATTCTTCGGCTTTATACTTGTATTTAATAAAATAAATTTTCCCGATAATTAAAAAAAAAATATAAGCGTAATGAAGATGGGTAATTGGATGATTATTCTTTTATCATTCATGAGTTTGCTGAAAGAGTTTAGCTTTGATGATATTGATCGTAAATTCATGGTACGTCAAATCAAGTTTTCGAGTTATTTATCCAACTTTCCTCAAATTGAAGAATCACCCAACTATGTATTTTCTCCTGTAAATTTGGAAATAGCTTTGAGTATACTAAACATGGGATCCAAGAAGTGCGCTGTATCTATCCAAGGCTTATCGAAAAAATTTCAATACTTTAAAATCTCTAATATGCTTAAAGCTTTAAAAGGAAAGAAACAGGATGGAAATTTGACCCTAAAGATGAATAATGACATATATGCCAAAGCGAATATGGAATTAAATTTGGAATATGTGAAAAATGTCAGTAAATTTTTCGATGCCTCTGTAGAATCGGTAGATTTTCAAAGAGATTTGAAAAGCGTAATAAATAAGATTAACGAAAAAGTATCAAAAAATACGAATGGATTGATAAAGGATTTAATCAAGTCTGACCAAGTAGATCCCAGCACCCAACTCATGTCTGTAAATTCTCTTTATTTCAAAGGCCTGTGGAAGCAACCTTTTGATAAGTATATAATATTAAAAAAATATCGCAATTTTATCATGAAATCCATTAGTTATATAAAGAATATTTTATATAATATTGACATTTTTTAATAAAATTTTTTTTATAAATGATTACTCAAACATTAGGAAAATGGTAAATATGCCTTTTAGGGATAAATCGGGATTTAACCTAAGCATTCCTATGTTGAGAGGCAAGGATATGAGTCTATTAATAAGTGGTGTCAATTCTTTAAAGGCTCGAATTATTGTCAAGGATTATATTGACGAAGATTTCAAACTGGTTTTAGTGCAGCCTTATTCGAATATCTCATTATCTATGGTTGAGAAAAATATTATTAGATATCCAAAGAAATTCGTAGATGGAATAGCGAATGCATCTGAAATTATAGGATTTCTTTACATGCCAAATTTTGATGAAGAATTTGAGGTCCCAATCTTAGATATGTTAGCCAAAGATCTCATATGTTGGAAAAAGTAATACCTTTATATTTATATATTCTAATACGATATATTTATCTAATAAAAGTTTTCTCAATCATAGATATGAATGCTAATTTTAAAACAACTTAATTATATGATTTTAATTTGTACAATTTAATTAGGGGTGGTATGGACAATATAGAAAAGGGTTCACATTTGGATCTAACTCAGATAAATCATAAAGTTAAATTGGAAATAACTGCTGAAGGCTCTAAAGGTGCTGCCGTGGTACAGTCTAGCATAATAGGTCGTAGTCTTCAGCTCCCGCCTATAATTAGAATGAACAGTCCTTTCTTGTTTTTTATAGTTCGTATAGATGGTTCCATATTGTTCAGAGGTCGATACTCGTCTCCAAATAATAGGAAATTAATGCCAGTTTTGCACCGATAAATATCTATCATGTATGTTTTTCCATTGGGGATTTTCCAATTATATTAAAAATGTATCCTTTCTATATGTTATATAATCTAAAATGTCAAAACATTGCGATTTACAATTATACCTCTGATTAATGTAAAATGGGTAAAATAAAAGAAATATATTATAGATTTACAATTTTATAATATTATATTAAAATTGATAAAATGGCTACAGGTATTAGATGTGTTCCTTACTCCTATTTTTTACGTGGATGTCAATTCGCACCCTCGTAACTCTTCTATTTTTTTGCTGAAACCGAACTCGTACCATTTTTAAAAGCAGATGGTACCTGGTATCAAAAATAAATTCAAATTTTTTTAAAAAATAGTAAATTTAATGATAAATATTCAACAAAAAAGTAAATAAATGGAGGTTTTTTTTTTCGTGGAATCATTTTTCTTTAGCATTTTTCAAAATTTGTCTTTTTTTGCGTCCATTTTATAGATAAAATTTTATTATAAATGATAATTTAATTTGCTATAAATAATAACATAATGGGGATATGCTGTTTATCTCATTTTTATATCAATTTTGGAAAGTAAAATATTTGGACAAATACTTACAAATCGTAATATAAAAAGTATATTTTCTAAATACTTCAATTTAATCAAACTAAGATGCAAATCAATAATTAATTTAGGTCTACATAGAACATTCCCTTTCTTTTTTTTTAATTAACATATTGTCAAATTTGTCCAGAAATCTTAAAGAGGATATTTTAAAACATATTATGATTATTCAAAAATTTTAAATTAAAATACAAAATAATTTATAAATCTCTTGCCAGTAAATTAATGTTTTAATAAGTGATTATTAGATTTATAAAATAAGAATAAGTACTTTAAAACATAATTTAATCATATCATTCCCATATGCAAAATCTATAGTTTAAATACCCTCAAAATGGCGGCATCCACACTGCTTTTTTAAATATAAGAGAAGTGGAATAGCAGCCTTAGAGTTCAATATTTTAAATTTTGTTAAAAATTATAGTTTTCATTTTTATCATGTCCAAATTTAAGTGGGAAATCCGTATTTAATATAATATTAGCCAAAAACCAATTTCCTTCCTAATACTATTTTTTAAAAAAGCTTATTTTTTGCGATATTTTAATTCTTTGGAATATTGATACAGTTTCTTGAAGTATCTTTCTCATTGAACTACGCGAATATTTAAATAATTTACTAAAGAATTAGCGATAATTCATTTTAATTTTCCTATTCATAATTGCATTCTTAATTTGATTTGCTTGGTGTAATGTAAATAAAGGACTTTATAATTAGATTTGTATGATAAACTAAATAATTTGTCTTATAATTTACAATAAAGATACTAAAATAAGGCCATCTCCTGGAAATAATCCGGCTTAATGAAAACTGATCTTGGCTTATTTGGAGTTTTTTTATTCATTAGAAAATATTTCAAATTTCGTTCGATCATAATAATATGTAATTAATTTCTATATATATAATATTTGTAAAAGATAAGACATGATAAATAAATATAAGACCTTTAAGAAAATATAAATTGACCTTTAAGAAAATATAAATTTCATGAGTAACAAGGAAGCCTCTTATTCGTGTTAAGACGAAAATCTAATAGTATACCTACCCACATTATTTAATCTATCTTACTGCAATAAATATTTTTATATTTTGTTATAATATTTTATTATAATATTTTATTATAATATTTTATTATAATATTTTATTATAATATTTTATTATAATATTTTATTATAATATTTTATTATAATATTTTATTATAATATTTTATTATAATATTTTATTATAATATTTTATTATAATATTTTATTATAATATTTTATTATAATATTTAATTTTAAATTATTATTTCCATTTATTCAACTAATCAAGCTGAATAAAATGATAGGTCGAGATATAGCAAGAAGCACTATATTAGTTTTCTTTTTAAAAGATTCTATCCTTTCCATTTATTTGCCCAAAAATAAAATATTTTTATGACAAAACTAGAACACTCATTCTAAAACTTATATATCAATCATTTGGGCTACCTCCAATTTTCAAAAGTTAGCTTAAAAAAAAATTTCTTCGAAATTAAAATTATAATTTATGCTTGTTCTAATAAATTGAATGTTTAACTTTTTCCTGTAAATTTTTAAACTAGCAAAAAAAAAAATATAAGATTTTTTTAATATCAGAAAAATCGATCAAAAGCCGATTACTGCTAAAATTCTTTTAATATTATTCATTTTAAATATATAGATAGACTCTTGCGAATTAGGGTATGTATATCCCACCTAAATATGGGGATCTTTTTTTATGAACTTGCACTTCCACCATTCTTTTCCAGTGAGAAATGTATCCCACCGCAATTTACTCCTTCAACCTATTCATGCCAACAATTTTATATAATTATATATATATAAGGTGTAAGCACGCCTATTTTTTTAAAATAAATATTACGTCTTCTTGAATATTTTAATAGTGTAAGCAATATGTTTTCACAAAATGCCTGATAAATATAGTCGGCCACTTTGTTATTGTGTAAATCAAAATTTTTTTTTTATTTACCTTAGGCGCGTGTTGGATAATAATTACAAGCATGCATTACAACATCCCATTTGCAGTTATTAGGAAGATTGTTGCATATTTTCGTAATACAATCGCACATCGCGGCTATACAAATCTAGTAAATTGGAAGAAATAAATTTTTAAACGTATTAACGAAATTAAGGGATAATCTATAGAAATAAAATTTTCAGAAATGTCGATTAATTTATAATTTTATTGCTCCAAAAACATTTCATTTCTCATAAAGACAATAATATTTCAGAATCCAATTTTAAATTTTTGAAGACATGATTGAATGATATCAACGATTAAGTTTAGGAATATTGTTATAAATTGAAGGTAGGTGATAAATAAATGATTTAATGCAGAATTACCCATCTCAAGTCTTATTCAGCCCTTATAGATCCTGATTATTTAAAATTTGGTCATGGTCTAAGTTTACATAATAATTTATTAATTCTTTAAGGTCCGACATTTCTAAAATTTGGCTAGCAAGAATAATTTTAATGCAAATGGCTTCATCGGGAAAGGAAAAATCTTTTATAGTTCGTTGTTCGAGATTTTAAAAATTATTTAATGCTTATGGCCGCGTAGCTTCAGCTATCGAAATATATAAACCTTTAAAGTTATTATTCTGCTTTAGTGCCCATTAAGTTAATGGTAAACAGACTTAGGGGGTATGGGAGCACAATGAGAAGGCCTATGAACTACATAGGAAATAAAGTTGAAAGTTTGGAAGTGATGAGCAAACGTAAAAGAGGAAAACTTTAATGGGGCCATAAAGTTAGAGCCAATATAAAGAAGTATAAATTAGATAAAAGAGATTGTACGAATAACATAAAGTGGAGAGAGATGTTGAAGGAGATTACCACCAGAAAAGTAGAAAGCTAAAGAGAGAAAATTTTTTTTATTAAAATACAGAGTTGTTAAAAGATACTTTTTAAATGGATCTAGATACAGATACAGATACATAGTCTCAAAAGTTATCTAGATACAGATACAGATACAGCGTCTAAAAAGTTATCAAGATACAGATACAATTTTTAAATGTATCTGTATACAGATACATTTTTTATTATGCTCTTATAGGTTTGCATAAACCTAAATTAATATTATATTGTGAAAATTCATGAAATGAGCTAAAAAATTTATTGACGCGATATTACATTTATCAGAATATAACTAAAATAATGATTTTAATATAATATATGATAATATATGATTAAATAATTATAAATAATTATTAGATTTCAGTAATAAAACATTTTCAAAATTTTGATCATTTAGGCATCCTCGTTTATCTGTAAAGACATTTTTAGCAACACTAAATAGTCTTTCCACAGGGGCGCTTGAAGGAATTGTAGTGTTATATTTAATAAATAACAATTTTATATCAGGGTATTCTTTAAAAATGCTAAAATCTCTACATTCATTTTTGAAAAAATTATTTAAAATTTGTTGATTATCAAAATTTAAATCATTATTAGAAATTATATCTGCTGTAGGGTACTGAAAAAAATCTGAAATTAAATTATTTGTTTTTTTTTGGCAGGTTATTTGCTTGCAGTCAGTTGATGACTTTGATAATTCACCAGCTAATCTTTGTATTAATTGTTTTCTTTTATTAAGATTTTCTTCCATTTGCAACCATGTCCAATCAAGTTTAAAAAAAGGGTGGAGCATGGTTGCTATAATATTATCATCTTCAAATAAGGTCACAATAAACCTAGAATTATTAAATATTTTTAATTTATTATATTAATTTACCTATCCTCAATCCCTTTAAGTAAGGCATCTAAGAGTGGTAAACAGAATCTCAGGTTCATTTCTTTAAAATTCTTTAATTTGATAATAAGTTGTGAAATAGTTGCACAGTAATAAGCTGTGTACATATACTTATCTCCCTGCAAAATATCAAGGGAATTAGCTATTGGCTTCATTAGCTAATTTAAAATAATGCTATATATATAAATATTATTTATAACTTACTAAACAATATTCATGAATAAAATCACATTCATTAGGTAAAAACCTAGGTAGTTTTATTCCATCACATATCTTGTCTACTTTGTCAGATTTATCTTTTATAATTTCTGACATTAATTGTAAGGCATTATAGGTGGAGTTCCATCTAGTTATATTAGGACATATAAAATAACGACCAATATATTCCTTAATAATCTCAGATGAAATAGGAGACTTATTTTGCCTATTCCATATATTTTGGCATTTAAGTAGTGTTGTGCTATATATCTAATGAAGAAAATATTACTTATTTAATTAAAATTAGTTTTACCCTCTGATATTGTTTACACTGCATGGCTCTATTGGCATCCACAGTGGCTATAAGATTCAATGTGTGACTGGCACAACATTGGTGATGAGGTAAACTAAATGATTCTGATAATTCAGAA